TCCTGGAGAGAACGGCTCTAAACACTAACATTCCAGTGGAAGGCTGGGCGGTGGCAAAAGGAAGACAGAAAACCACAAATATCAGAGTCAGCGTGTACTGAACACAGAAGCACTTTGCTCAGGCATATCAGCCGCACACAGATGTAATTCACCTCCTCTGTCAGAAATGCTTGGGAACCTCAGCAATATCTTAAGAGAAATCCTAGGAACCTGCGATCTAAAATGTATCTGTTACACCAAAAAGGTGATTTTTAAAAACAACTCCATATGGTTTAGAGAACCAAAAGAAAAGTTCCTGTCACGTTACTGCATCTGCTCTGTCTCTTTCACTCTGTGTCCAAACCCAAGATCGATAGAAATGGACACTATTCTGCTCCGGTAAATGGTCACAATGTCAACATCTGTGCCTTGTGGTCTTCAGGTTGAACTTACTGATTGGAGCTGTGATCATCAGCTGATAGGCCGGCGAGAGAGAAGCACCCAGACACAAAGGAACCCATTGGAACATGTGTAACTGTAAGTCTCTAATTATCCTTTCTAATTTTGGAGCCATGTGACTGGACTTCACACAGCACCGCTGACCCCATCAGCATGAGTGTGTGTAGCTGAACCACAAAGGGAGGGGATGCTACTCTTGACTCCTTCATTAAAATATTGTGTTACATTGCAGGGTGAGCTCTTCCCTGGCCATCATTCAGCTCTCCGGTCAACGTCAGGCAGAGCACCTGGGAGAATTTAACTATTCCTGGCCACACTGGCTCCAGGATTTTGAGAGGAGGCTTTTTTTTCCCTTATGAAGAGTGATCTATCTGGTAGCACAAAGATCTATAATACTTCTTTTTCTTTTATTTTGAGGGTTAGCCTTTGTCGAGCACTGTCCACCAGTTCTCTGAGTGGGTTTGCCTTTTGAGTAGCAAATAATACTTAAAAAGATAAATAATGATATAAGTGCTCAAAAAAATGTTCTTCTCAATTGGACACTAGAATATAACAGACTTGGGGTTTCTTTCTCTTTGACATGTACAGGGAGAGTAGCCAGAAGGCAGGAAGGTATTCCTGGGAGTGCAGGTGAAGATTTGCTAACTTGGTACAACGTTCTCATCACCACTTCGAACTACTTCTACTTTTCTTTAAAGTTGCAGTGCAACAGAGATAATGTCATTCTCTGCTCAAAAGAAATCACTATCATATCCTGCCACTGCAATAATGTTCAATGACAAAGTAAAAGCATATATCAAAATAGGAAAAGATTTAAAAATGTATCTACTCAATACCAGAGCAAACATTTTTGTTTTGTTCAAAATATCTGTTACAGGATCTGTCAGGAATCATTATCACTGTCTACAGAATGTGCAGGTCCAGTTCAGTGCAGCTCAGTAAAGCATAGGCTCTGGAGGCTGGTTCAAGTGCAAGGTGTGCCACTAACCTTCTGTGCAACTTTAAGGAAGTTATTTAACCTCTCTGCACCTTGATTCTCTACCTGAAATATAAGAACATTGACAGTTCTTCTTTCTCCCAGCTTATTATGAGACTTAAGTAGCACGTCTTTACAAAATAAATAAAATCTATAGGC